GTTTAAACAGTGAAGCATCTCTGAGGCTGCTTTCCCCCTGACTCAAACTACCTTTTGTTGAGTGGGATCTTGGTAGACCAGTTGTTAAAAGAGCCGGACACAAAGACGTCTTTCGCTGCACCCGCCCACCTGAACACAGTCGGTCTGGCCTGTGCTAGATTTTTAGCGTCGCTCTCCAGATCCTGCTGCCAGGCCAGAAACTCCTGCAACTCCTGTGGAGACTGAGACGCATGATATCACTGCATTACTGCCATGTTAGCAAGAGCACCTGCAGTCTTTCTCCAGACTGAATGGCAAACTTAGAAAAACACTAAAGGATACAGAAAAGTGCTTTTTGTATGTGTAACCTCTTAAACATATCTTTAGCTTATGATGCTCTTTGATGTTACTCTCCAATTAGATACAAAAAAGACTTAATTGACCTTTATCGGGAATTTGACATTGATAAAACAAACTGTTGGACAAATCTTTGTTTTAACATTTGACTTGTGTACACATCACTAACAGTGAATAAGTGTATAGCCTTCCTTGTATCCATTACACACAGTTTGCACATCCTGAACAGACCATATTTTACTGTTTTGACACATTACTGACACTTTGCACCAACTATTTCACAAGACACCAAGCTCTTTGGATTTCTCTCCCTCCTCCGAGGTAGTGCCAACATGTTGCCTCAGCATTAATTAAACTGGTTATCCTGCCTCTTCTTCTCCATTACACTGCACTCTGATCAGTCGTAAAAATTAAAGCTTCTGGTTAATAATTCTAGTTTAGGCCCCTCTTTTACGGCCAATATCTGCAGAAAAAAAAAATCCACATGAATGCCAAGACCCAGCGTTTCCTAGGAGAACTTGGCATTGCAATCAGGTGATCAGTGTTATTCACATCACCTGTTAGTGGTTGTATTGTGGTGGCTAATCAGTGTAACTGTGCAATGCACAAAGATGGCACCGTTTTAGTTACCAGACTGCTTTTAGAAAACTGTTTAATACTTGATATTTGTATTCAAAATCATTTTTCAAAAAAACTGCAGAGAATCTTAAGTTTTATAGGGAAAATAAAAACACTCTAAAACCATTAAAGGTTTAAGAATGATGTTTATAATCTGAATATTTACCAGTTCATACATATCAGTGTAAAAACCATATATAAGAGGTATTGATCCAATTTTATTTATATAGTGTCAATTCACAGCAACAGTTACCTGTTACGAGGTGCCTTATATCATCAGGTAAGGAGCATACAATAGAGAGAATATCCCAGCAATCACACAATCCTGCTCTGAGCGAGCACTTGGTGACATAACTCCCTTTTAACAGGAAGAAGCCTCAAACGGAAGAGCCAGGCTCAGGGACTGGCCGCCATCCACGGTGACCAGTTGTGGTTGAGGGGAAATTGGTTAATTGTACAATAATTGGTACCAACTCATTTAACAACAAATTTACATCCAAAAGCCTGCATGTCACTTGCTATCCAGTGCAATGGGACAGAACAGAAAGCTTTATTTACGAGTTCATGGTGTAAACTTGCTCTAATACCTTTTGATCTTCTCTCTGGTAAAGGTCTGCATCATCTGCGCTGTCCATCATGATGTTAGAACGAGCCTCCTTCCCTCCATGATGTCCCTCTCTGTACGACCTCTCACC